CTCTATCTTAGCTGGGACAATGCCCAAGTCACCACAAATGTAGTGACTGGTCAGAGCCTCCTGCTTCAGGACTGGAAGGCATGGGTCATTTCGAGGGGCTTCCCACATATCTGTCCTTCTTTCTTTGAAAAAGCAGGTGATAGGTCATTATTTCAAGTTCCTAAATTTTTGTGCTGGGAACATGACATCCTACAATTACAACACAAGAGAGAATAAGTAGCAATGAGAACAATACAAGGATATACCATGCAGAGTGTTTAAGAATGTTTCCAGGGTTAAAGCTGTTTAATTCTTTAAGCGTTTGATCAGCTAAAGAAGTAGGATCTGAAAAGTCAATCTTACTTTTCTGTATATCTTGAATTTGATGATGCAGTTCCAAAAGATCCAAGCTGTTATCATTATTCTGCCAAATATCCAACAAATGGTTTTGAACCTTCTCCCAATACCATTAAGAAACATTGTATTTGGCAGCAGTAACACACACATACTTATAGCTTGCAAGACATTTAAGTCTCCCCTTGAAATTCAAAGTGGAAAGTCCATTACTTATATTCATAATTGTGAAGAGCCTTGGAGGTATTCTGAGCAAAAATATTAAGAAAATTTGCATGTTGAATATTTGAGATATGGCCACCAAAACTGTGACCATGGAAGCAATAAAAGAAACCAAGGGAACAACTCCCACTATTGTAAGTCCAGGACCACATTTACATCTTGCTAGCTGGGCATGTATTTGTTGTAAGACTTGAAAACCAGCATCAGCCTACCATGGCTCTGAAATATTTCCTGGTAATAAGACAAAAGAGGGCTAATGAAGTATCATCGTTTCTTTTTCTCTATTATTTCTGGTGTTACAATTAGTTAAATTACATTTACTACATGTTACAAGATATCTATCATCTTCCCTTTTGACTTATACATTTCCAGTAATTAAAACATAAGAAGATTGAACCAGACCCATAAGTCATAGCAAGAGCCCTCCTTCTAGTACTTGCTTACAAAGTCTGGTAAACTTTTGTCAGTAAAATGTAAGAATTCCGAGGCAGCAATTAAGCGCCAAACATCTATCTGAATGCCACCTTCACTGAAGGTCAGGATGTCAATAAGTATGGACACTCCTTGCAAAACCAGCATGAAATCACCATTTGACCCAGCTATCCCTCTCCTGGGACTATACCCAGAGGACTTAAAAAGAGCATACTGCAGGGACTGAGCCACACCAATGTTTATAGCAGCACAATTAACCATAGCTGAACCATAGAACCAACCTAGGTGTCCTTCAACAGATAAATGGAAAAATAAAATGTGATATATATATGTGTATGTGTGTGTGTGTGTGTGTGTGTGTGTGTATACACACACACACAAATATTCCCCACCAATTGAATATTAGATTTAAAGATGAATGAAACTGTGGCATTCGGTGGTAAATGGATGGAGTTGAAGAATATCATGGTAAGTAAAATTATCCCCCCCCACACACATATACACACACAAACACAAAAGTCAAGTGTTCTCTCTTATAAGTATATGCTAATTCAGAATGGGGGTGGGAAAAATAGTTACTTTAGATTAAGTAGAGAGGAGTGCAGGGAGACGATGAAATATGGGGATGGGAAGGATAGTAGAATGAAACAGACATTACATATAACATATAATATATATGGGTGCTAAACAACTCAACAAGAGAGAGGGAGAGAATAAAAATTCAGTGGATTAGAAACAATTGGAATGAAGGGAAGAAAAGGGAAATAGGAATACAAATAACAGTAGGATGAAACAGACACCACTTTTCTGTGTTCATATATAACTACAGCACAAGTGAAGGTTCGCACCATGTACACCTCAAGAATGGAATGCTAACTAAAATGAGTTTTACTCCATATATAATATGTCAAAATTTGTCTACTGTCATGCATACTTAAAAAGAGTAAGAAATGTGAAAAATTATAAGGGAAAATTTGTATACAGAGAAGGATTGTGAGTGAAAAACTCTTCAATAAATGCTAATGTCATTAAGGTTAAATAAAATTATAAAAGACTACCTTGAGCCCATACAAAATAATAAACAATGGTAAATAGTTTCCAAGTCAGTCTGTGCAATTATCTACAATCCCAAAATTTTTGATTTGTAACTCTTCCATTTGTTTTAAAAGCAGCACAACAACAATAATGACAAGTTGAGCAGAGAGGAAACATTACATAGCAGTGTTATGAATATTATTAATAGTGCTGTGAGCACTCAAAGAAAGCATTTTCAATTTCCTCCCTCATGCAATAAAATATCATGCAGTTGAAAGATATGCTAGTTACTGCTTAGATAAAACATATATGTGTTTGTTACATTAAGTATGTGGGCAGCTGCTCAACTTGGCAGGTCAGATCCAATAGAAAAGGAAGACAATCTCTTCACACAAGACAGTGTTTCTTTTAGTATTATTATGAAAGTAAGAGAAAAAGCAAAAGAAATAGACTCAGGCAACAATTGTATTGCCTAGTGATCCTAGGAAGAACACTACATACTCCCAAGAAAAGGTCAGATCCCAGATTAGGGAGTGATAGCCTTGAGATGACTAAATAAATTGAAGTTCCAATGAGAGAGCCACCGACCCAAATGCATTGAGAAATCAACTTTCTTTACCTGTTTCATCAAGGATATTCAGACATCATGCAGGCCCATGGAAAGGGAAGACCTTTAGTATTTTTTTTAGATCTCTCGTACTGAATCTTCCGTCTGGGCCTTATAAATAGTTAGAACTCTCATATGTAAAATGAAGCCATTTTCTGTGTAAAATAACACGCAATGGAGATAAGCATGAAGCCTAGAGATTTACCCTTTGGAATAATAAATAGTGTGAATATTAATCTCCTAGAATTTATCATCATATTTCAATATTTATTTTCCCAAATAAAGTTAAATGAAATATTTGTAGGTGGTGTTTCATTGACCCAAAGGGCTCATGTATGAAAAGTATATTTTGTTTTAACTTTTTAACAGGACTTGTAGATGAGAGTCTAGAGGTTTATTTCAGTCAAAATTGTGTTTCTCTCTCTGTGATGTCATGGGCTCCTGGAGCTGTAAGATGTGAAGAGGGACAGGATTAGTTTATAGTATCTTATAATTACTGGATTACAGATGAGTCTCGAAGACAATGACACATGCTATCTACCATATAATCCAATAAGTATAACAAACATTATAATGTAAGTTATTAAGTAGAACAAAAAATTGATAAAATCAAATATATAATGAAATAAAAATGTGGGGCATAAATGCTCCTATGGTATGTCTATCTCTTTTTACCTTCATCATTTTACATGTTTCTGGTTACACATTTTTACTGGGTATCTAAGACTAAAGAGGTGGTCCCATATGGGGATGTTTTTCCTACACTTGAGGTCAATTGTGTCTCCTCAGTGATGAATGTCATAGATTCATGAGGAACTGCATGGTTTCCTCAGTTCAACAGTCAGGATGGGCCTGTGGACCACGTGGTTTCCACAGGAAACATTGAGACTATTTCTCCTTCAGCAACCCTCATTTTTTACATGAATATGCACGTTGGCTTCTAGTCTCTTGGGTCTTTCTCCTCTTCCTGATTGGAAGCTTGTATAACTCTCTACAGTTGTAGATCCCTTAGGGTGTACTGGTCCTCTATAAGGTGAAATGTTAAAGTCCTAATTCAAACTAGGAATATCTGTGCATTATTTTAGTATCCCATGGTCCTTCATATAACTGTCTTAATTTTTCCATAATTACGAACAAGAGAGTATATAATTTACATAAATAATATTCCCCAAATAAAACTTGATTAAACATATGAAATAATTAATGGAGACATTAGAGCACTATTTATCCAATAGAATGTTTTACTATTGCATCGATTCATTAGCAAAGTGAATAGTGGAAGATGTGTTACCTAATAACATCATTAAATTCATGACATGGTTAACTTTAAGAAATTCACACTTTATTTAGTAACAAATTGCATCCATAATGAAATATAAGTAAAAATGCTCTGTAAAATGGGCATGGTGGTCCATGCCTGTGATCCTAGGGACGTGAGAAGCTTATCAAATTAAAAGCCAGGGTTCATAACTCAGTGAGGCCCTATGAAACTCAGCAAACCCTCTCTCTAAAAAAATGAAAATAAAATCTGGGAATGTGGTTTACTGATTACATGCCCCTAAGTTTAAGTACAAAAATAAAAATTAAAAGCTTAAAATTTCATATAAATCATGAGACTTCTGAAATAATCAACTCTGAGTATTATTATTTCTCCAGTTGTGAAAAATGAGACTCTTTAGTAATTGTTGATTTACACTAAAATTATGTCCTTTTAGGGATGCACTATTCTATACTTTTATGTCCTTATTTCTACAATATCACCTCAAGATGTTAAAAAAATTTTCAGCAAATGTCAAAAGAAATTATCCATTTTCTACATTTAACTGATTTTTTCCCTCCTAGGTCCCAAATACTTCAAGGGATGGACTATAGATAAGAAACTTACTACAATATTTAAATTGGTGAATGTGTTCTTGTAAATATTTTGCTGTTATCTAAGGTACACACTTCGGACAAATGCTATTCCATGCTTACTACAAATATGACATCAGAATTGAAAAATGTCTCAATTTTGAATACAGTCTTGTACACATTCTTTGGGTTTCTATTTGCTATAAATCCTCCACTGTTTTAAAAATGTTTGATCAATGGCCAAAAGCTTTCAAAAAATTTTCCACATGTCCTCTCACTTATGTGAATTCTGAGGTGTTGAGTAGGGTGTGAACAACTGTTGGAGACTCTGTCACCTATTTTACACTTGTACAATTTCTGTGCTATCATATATCTGGTATGACATAGTGTTTAACTACTGTGAAATAAGGGTTTATCTATTCTTAAGGACACTGATGTAACGTTTTCACATGTAAAACTTCTCTGCAGTATAAAATCTAAATGTTTAGAAAAATGTGATCTTCAAATTTAAAAGCTCTACCATTCTTCATATCTATAGGACTTCTCTCTAGTATGGATTTTCTGGTGCTGAGTAAGTGATTCTGTGTAATCGAAATTTTTGCCACATTCTCTACATTTCTAGGGCTTCTCTCCAGTATGAATCCTATTGTGGCGATTGAGCTTTGAGTTTGTATTAATACTTTTGTCACACACTTTACATTTGTAGGGCTTCTCTCCAGTATGAGGAAAATTTACCTGCTAAAAAATATACTAAAAGTTACAGCATTCAATTGTAAATGCAGACATGAGGTTAGGTAGACAGAGTTCTTAGTGAGTGTGGCAATAAGCCCTCACATCAATAGCAAATTAATCATTGCACACCAGTGTTGTTTCAATGTTATTCGACATTGGTATCATGGATAATGCAAACCAAATATACCTTGAAAAGAACAATGAGCCAATTTGGAATATAGAAACTATACAACTTTGATGTCAAAGAAATTATTCTCATTATATATTCTACAAAATGTATGTACACTGTGTTAACTGAAATGTCACAGAAAGAATACTGCAGAATTCTATGAACATGACATCTCTAAACTAAAAAAGAAGATTTCTGAACAAAATAGAATGGTTTTGTAGTGGGGAGAAAGAAATGAGTCCTTTCTTTCTAGGCATTGTTTTTTTTTTTTTTGAGATGTAAATTTTTTAGATATATATTGCTTAACAATTTGAATTAATGTTACTGATCTGTATATTTAAAATTTTGGAGACAGTAAGTTTTATTTTATAGTTTTGATTATAATGAAAATTACAACAATACATAAAAGAGAATTGCAACATTTCTCAAAGCTACATTTAAAATAATGTGGACTTTATCCTATAAATAAGAACAAACTCATCAATATACAAATGATAGGCATGCATGTAATTTCAGCTACTAGGAAGTCTGAGGCAGGAAAGTTGCAATTTTAAGACATGCTATATAACTTAGTGAGAACCTCTTTCCAATGATGAGTTAAAAGGAGTTTGGGGTGTAGTTTAGCATTAGAGAATCATTGCCATCAATCCCCATTACATTTACATATAGAAAATTTCATTTTCTTCGTACATGGACAGTATGCCAAGCCAATCAAGATAAAATACAAAAGTCATGGACAAAAGAGGCTCAATATTTATTTAAGCAAAAGCACATATAATATTATTGGCAATACAAATAAGAGTCATACATATCTTAGTTTGTGAAGCAATTAACTGATATGAGGAAACCAAGTCTATAGCGTGGAACCTACTGTACACAATAAAAAAAAGAAAAGAAAAACAACCAAATTGTAAACATCCACAGATGTATTATTTTACAAATCCTCTAACTCAAATAAAACTTACACCATCTCTCAAAACAGCAGTCTTTGTCCAACTTGACATTCATTCCATGGCAGATAATTTCACAGAAAATGCATTAAACATATCAGAAAGAACACTGATAAGGAAATTTTAGTGAAAAAAAATCTACAAATAAGTTTAGAGAAACTGACTTATGATTGTAATGTATTACAATGGGTGGACCTAGAGGTCTCCAGAAATGTCCAAACTTTCCTGCAAATAATGGAAGAAGGGCTGGAGTTGTAGAGTAGTGTTAGAGAGCTTGCCTAGCATGTGTGAGGCCCTGGGTTCAATTCTCAGCACCATATATGGATAAATAAGAAATTCATTAACAACTAAAATATTTTTTAAATTATTGAAGAGCTGTCAGATAATATTGACACTCACAGGGCAAGGGGAGTGTTTTGTTTTTAATTTCAATGTATGGAGACATTACTGCAGGAAAAGTAGGATACTAAATAATTTTAAAGCACGAAACACAGGACAGGTTTTTCTGATAACAAGAGAAAGAATTCAAAGCTTCTAAAAAATATTGTCTGCTGGATAATGTCTCAATGAACCTTTTTGAACTTGGGCTTCCTCCTTTATCTCTACTATGTCCTGTGCTATGTGTGGGCCACAGTATTTGACATCAGTGCATTCCTCTAAGTCAACTATATGTCTAGTGAAGAATATATATCATGCGACCAAAAGAAAACATTAAGGATGAAAAGAAACATACTTAATATTTTTTGTCAGCACCAAGAACTACCCCAACTTTTTATTGAAAGTATAAATCTGAAACTCATTCTTATGGTGAAGTTCCCAAAAGATATACTTCAAGGGGAGAAAATTAAATAATGATAATTAGGAATTTTGAAGTAAAGTTATACTCACCCACAAAGAGAAGGTTGCTGTAGTTCTCCAAAATCACTTCTATATATAAATTCTGCTGAGCAGAATCCAGGCATTCCCATTCCTCCTCAGAGAAATCAATGGCCACATCCCCAAATGTCAATGGCCCCTGAAAGAAAAATTGGTAGATGAATACCATACAGACCAAACCATTATTCAGTATTTAGTTTGAATTAAAAGTTAGTAGAACTGACTGTCATGCAGGAGAGTGACTTTATATATGTAATAAGATACTTTCAATTATATAATTCAGAGGAAAATACATAAGTCCAAAGACAGAATATCTATTCCATATCAGAGTGAAGTGAAGGATATATACCATAATCTAAGCACTGAATAAAATCCCAACTCTTACCTTTTCTGCCATGAGTGAATGTGAAATTTGGCAGAAATTCCAGATACAAATCAGAATTGTCAAAGATATTCTCATAAGGTGATTGTGCCCAAGAGCGATAAAAAGAGTGGTAAAAAAAAACCTTTTGAAAACATTCTGGTAGTTATTCTCTCTGCTTTGTATCCGTGAGAAAGATTGAACTCTCAATACAATTAGTTTCAAGTATCACCCATGACACATTCCCAATGTGTAAAAATTCATAAAATATTAATGTTTGGAGACATGTAAAGTGACACTTCCACCTCGTGAAAAGACAACCTTGAAATATTTCAAGTTCTATAAGCAGTTCAATGAGTGAACATTTTGGTACAATAGAGGTCTAGACAGCAGCACATATGTGTCCAAAAGACTGGGACAAAGAAATGGTTAATAAAAGAAAAAATACCTTTTAATATAATTGTAATGGAAAAATAATGGTGATGATAATTTACTTAAAACTCATACAACCAAGGTAATATAATGAAGGAAAATGATGGCTTTGAGAAATACATAATAAATGTATTAGTGATAAAAGAAGCACAGGTCTGTTATCATCTCTGTGTGCAAAAGAAAGATGAGATCAGTAAGACACACCAGAAGTGTCCACACAGGTTTCCCCATGGGAACTCCACGTGTGGATGGATCCTAATTACTTAAATATAGCTACTTTATTGGAAGAATTACCTTGACTTAAGAGCATAATCACCTCATCTACACAAATAACCAATTAAAAATCTTCAATAGCAAAATAGTTAAATACTTGAGCTAATAGGAATTGTATGCTAGGTATCAAGATTTTATGAAAGGAACAACAAGACAAATCAGGATAGTAGATAATTATAGTCACTGTTCAAAAAAAGCAAAAAATAAAAATCCTTACATGTTAGAATAAATATCTTTTACAAAGTGTGTAGCACCCTCACTGTAACACTGTAGCCTTCTGTAGCTCATTCCTAAGCAGTGAGTGAGGCAATTCTGGGCAGCTAAGAAAATAATTCTGTAAAGTCCACACACTTCATATTCCTTTTGCAAAGGAAGAAATGCTTAGTCTTCCAGAGTCACAATTCTCACCAGTAAACACACACATAGCTGGAGTCACTTTAAGGTCCTCACCTACAATTTTCTTTAAAATTTATTTTTCTTAAAGAAAATGTGTAAAAACTAATGCCAAATGTCTTCTTTGATATAATGAGAGCAACTAAGAACAGAGCAGGGAGGAAGAGCAGGAGGAAAAGATTAACATTAAACAGAGACATGAGGTGGGAGGGAAAGGGAGAAGAAAGGAAAATTGCATGGAAATTAAAGGAGACCCTCATTGTTATACAAAATTACATGTAAGAGGTTGTGAGGGGAATGGGAATAAAACAAGGAGAGAAATGAATTAGAGTAGATGGGGTAGAGAGAAAAGATGGGAGGGGAGGGGAGGGGGGATAGTAGAGGATAGGAAATGTAGCAGAATACAACAGTTACTAATATGGTATATGTAAAATGTGGATGTGTAACCAATGTGATTCTGCTATCTGCATTTGGGGTAAAAATGGGAGTTCATAACCCATTTGAATCTAATGTATGAAATATGATATGTCAAAAACTTTGTAATGTTTTGAACGACAAATAAAAAAACAGAAAATGTGTAAATTTGCAAAAAAATCAACCACATTTCTAAACTTTGGTTATCATAATATTTATTTTGTGGGGCTGGGGTTTTGGCTCAGTGGCAGAGCACTTGACTAGCATGTGAGGCACCAGGTTTGATCCTCAGCACCACATATAAATAAAAAATAAAGGTAGATTTTTTTAAAGAACATATTGTTGACACTGGGTGGCACAAGTGTCACTATTTCATGTCTCAAATTTGCAGTCTTTTACCTAATTCTGATGCCACTTATAAGTCCTAGAATGTCATCTACATGGCTAATCAACTTCCTGTTCATTGGGGGATCCTACAACTACCAAACATAGAAAGGAGCATTCAACATTAAGGTATTATCACACCAAAGAAAGAAAACTTCAGACCAATATCTGTAACAGACTGATGCAAAAATTCTCAATAAAATTCTGGCAAATAAAATACAATAACATATCAAAAAGTTCATGCACCATGATCAAGTGGGATTTATCCCAGGGATATAAGGTTGGTTAAACATATGAAAATCAATAAATGTAATTCATCACATTAGTAGATTTAAAGATAAAAATTATATGATCATCTAAATAGATGCAGAAAAGCATTTGACAAAATTTAGCACCTTTTCATGTTCAAAACACCACAAAAACTAAGTATAACAGGAACATGTCTCAACATTGTAAAGGCTATCTATCCTAAGACTCAGGTCAACATTATTCTAAATGGAGAAAAACTAAAGGCATTCCCTCAAAAATATGGAACAAGACAGGAATGCCCTCTCTCACCACTTCTATTCATCATATTTCTTGAAACACTGGCCAGAGAAATTGGATGAAAGAAATTAAAGGAATAAGTATAGAAAAAGAAGAATTTAAACTAGCACTATTTGCTGATGATATGATTCTGTACCTAGAAGACCCAAAAAATTCCACTAGAAATCTTCAAGAACTAAAATTCAGCAAAGTAG